GGACTCCTTTCAGACCTTTAGAAAATATCTATTCCCATAAGTTAGCAGCCCTCCCTCCAGAGATCTGTACAGTCTTGATCACAGGGCTCCTGCAGGAGGTACCTGGGGGTAGTGTTCTTCCTGACCTGAGCAGCTGTCTAACCCTCTGCCAGGCGACAGCTTTCTCTGGACCTCAGTCTTCTCACCTGTGGTAAGGATGGGGTGGGGGGGGCCAGGGAATCTGTATCCTATGTGCCCTGTGAAGAGCATGAAGAATTACCATTTTGCCCAAGAGAATCCTCTGAGTGTTGAGGTCAAGGGTCACTGTGGTCTGGAGTGTTGAAGGGTTATGAGTAGACCTGGAATGTTAAGTTCAGGAACTGTCCTGCTCTGGGGTTCTGTGAGTCAAAGGGGAAGTACAGGGGTGGTGGTAGGGAAGCTACCCCTTTGCCTCTGGCTTTTCCTACACTTTGGCCACACTTACTCTCTGGTGACATCACAGAGGGCATCACCCAATCCCCAGGGAAGTCCAGCCTCTGTCCCACCCTCACAACTTTACCTTATCACCCAGGTAACCTGACAATTGGCTTGGCTAGAAACTGGCCTCAGCCATCCATCCCAAAGGAGGGGGTGGGGGGAGGAGGGGACAGGGAGAATCTTCTCCCTGTCTTCTAGAGTCGGGAGGACACTGAGGCAGCCCTTTCCCACCCTCTGTCTGTCTGGATGGTAAGAGCAGAATTTTCCTCCTAACATTTCCTCCGACCTGATCAGCCAAGGTTGGTCCCAGGCCCTTTCCTTCCCTTCTCTCAGTATTCTCTCTGGTATTGCTTGCTTCCACTGAGTGTGGATGATATTAAAACTAGTCAATCCAGCTCTAAGGAAACAGAGGTAGATTGAAGACTTAGTCCAGGTTACATAACTGGTCTGAAACAGAACTAGAACCTGGGTTCTAGCCCAGGACTTGTGAATCTGCTGCCACTGATTCACTGTAGATTCTTGGTATCTATTTTAAAACCAGATGTGAAGAGGGGAGGGAGAAGGTTCGGTGTCAATAAATGTTTCTTTAATGAATTAATGAACAAAGGAATGAATGACTGAATTAAAAGCAGGTCCTCAGAGAACTGTTGTATAGGCAAAGAGCCCTGGGCTGGAACCTGAAAGCCCTACGTTCTAGTTTTGGCCTTTGCCTAGGGTTTCTGCCAGTTGCTTTCCTTCTTGGACCCTCAGTTTCTCCGCAGATCAAATGGGAACAAAAGAGTTCCAGAGGAGAATACCTAGTTAACTGCACTAGAAAAGATCCAAAGACTTAGAACTGGAAGAGGGCTCCGACAGGATCGAGGATCTATTCTGACCGGGTCATTTTACTGAAAGGGAGGGAGCCTGGGATGCCCTGAGAGCAGAAAGTCAAAGGTCACACAGGTCGAGCAGGGGGACTCTTACAGTGAAGGGGCATTACTGGGAAAAGAGGACAATGTATTTGATAATCGGCTAAAGGTGCTCCCCACAGCTCTCCCTACTCTGTCTGCCTCTACTTCTGCCCTGCCCTTCCCCCCCCCCCCTCCAGGCTCCTAGGGAGATACTGAGAAAACACTTTGTGAACAGAATGCCTCTTCTGTTTCCCTGGACAACCCTTCCCTGGGACTTGAGCAATCTGTTAATGGTTAATCTCTGTTTGGCTTTGGGCAATAACTTCTGTTCCTCTGTGTTCTCCACCTGTGTTTGCTTTATTGTCTCCTACAAAACTAGGTGTTTCCTAAGGGCGGGGGGGGGGGGGGGGGTTGCCTTCTGCTCTTTGGAGGGGGGGCTGGCTCACAGAGGAATAGGCCTGCATTCCTCTCCCCCTGCCCACTCTTGAATCTAAGGGCAGCACCTTCCCTCAGGAAGACTCCTAGGCTGAAGTAGAAGGACTGGAGAAAGGACCCTCCCCGCCACATCCCCCACCTACTCCTTCCCCCTTACTGCCAGTGGAGGTCAGGAAGTCTTTGTATTACCTTTGCCTCTTCAAGTGCTCTCAGCCAGTCAGTCTCTCACATTGGTAAGAGTCCTAAAGTAAACCCTGGTTCCGTGTTCTGGGAAGGATCAGCGAATGAAGGCGTAATCTCCAGATCTGAGGCCCATAATAAGGTAAATGACTTGCCCAAAGTCTGCAGCTGCTCACTAGAACTGTTAGAACACAGTGGCATCTGCTCACTCTGGATTTCTGCCTTTCCTTGCATCTGTGGTGTCTCTGTAGGCTGGCAGGTAATAAGCACATAATAAATGCTTGTGGACTGACTCACTGACATGTTAGACCTCAAAGATGACCTTAGTGAATATCCAGTCCGGTTCCTTCATTTTGTTGAAAGGAAAACCATGGCCCCAAGAGGTCAAGTGACTTAACCAAGGTCAAACAGCAAGTTGGTGACAACCACTGGCTAAGTCTCCTAGCTTCCCGTAAGATTTTTTTTTATTCATCTTTGCACCACACCCTATCCATTGTAAAATGCTGGCCATAGTACAGTCTAGTTCTAACTGAAAATACATATTGTAATATATGAATTAATAATCCAATTATAAATCATTAGTTATGTTAAAAACAATTAATGGGTAAAAGAGAAATACAAGTACACCTAGTTCTAGAGAACCTATCTATAAACAGTTGCAATTTTGTCAGACAGGTCAAGCAAGGAATCATAATTTGCTTTACAGAAGAATTTTTCCATTTACAGAAGGGGTTCCCTGTAGGGCTTGTTTGGGTCCCAGTGCCTTGGATGTGCTTAAAATATACTCAGCTGCACCAAGGTTCCTGGGTGCCTACAACTCTTTAGGAACACAGCTACTTCCGATCACCTACCACAGCCACCCCTGGTCTTTCTATTAGAACTCTCCAGAAAGAATTCTGCTCTGGTTTAGCTTTACACCTTTCAGGCCCTAGTGGGGGGGTGGGAAAATGGGAGAGGCCCACTGAGGATTAGACTCATCATCTTCCCCAGGTCACACATACCTGGCCACCTAGACTAGAGTCAGAACAGGACAGCCCAGGATTCCAGAAATCAGAAGCTTGGACAAAGTCCCTGTCCCTTTCTGGGACTCAGTTTCCTCCGATGTAAGATGAAAGGGTTGGCTGGGCTCAAGGATTCCTTTTAGCTCTGTTCAGCAGCTTGGGGGAATGAAAAGAAAGCTGGAGTTGGAGGCCTCTGAGACCTTGATCAAAGTTGTCAGCCCCAACATTTACTAGTTGTGTGACCTTAGGCATGGGGTTTACCTTCTCTGAGCCTGTTTCCTCATTTGCAAAATGGTGGTAATGATTCTTGCCTGCCTGTTGTCAGGAAGGTCAAGTGCCTTACTGCCTCCTCCCCTCCCCCCTTTTTTGGAGAATTTTGTATGCCTTAAAATGCTATAGAGATGTAAGCTTTTACTATTATTACTATTACAGTGAGCATTTATATAGCACATTAAGGTCTGAAAAGCACTTTACGAGTTACCCCAGTTGATCCTCACAATTTTACAAAATTTAGCAGCAGCAGCAATCTTAGGTTTCTTGTAGAACCTAAACTTTCAGGACTGGAACCCAACCCAATCATTTTAGAGATGAGGAAACTAAGTTTCAGAAAGTGGACAGCACTTACATCTAGTAAGTGTTAAATGTTTGTTGTATTGAAGTCTAGTTCTAAATCCTATGATCACTATGCACTTGATGAATGGTGAGGTAAGAGGGGGAAATACCCAGACTGGGAGCCAAGTGGTATGGGTTCTACCTCTGCCTCCAATGCTGGTGGGCTTTGTGTGGTTGTCATCATTGGACTGGCCAGGAATATCAGATGAGAGCCACAGGGCTTCCAGCTCAACTACCTTTTTTTATGTGTGTGACCTTGGGGCAAGTAAGTGCCTTCCTCTCTCTGGGCCTCAGTTTTCTCAAACTCTGTAAAATGGGATGATAATATTTGTCCCATATGCCTCAGAGGAAAGTAGCCTTAAAGGGATATAGAATTAGAAGCTGCTGTTCTTATCTAATCTATGTTCAATGTGATGGTCTAAATGTATATCTGTCAACATTTAGTGTAGGCCTTTGTTTCTGGAGAGGTATCAAGTGCAAGAACACTAGCTGCCTTTGGTGCCCTCTGACCCCACTCATAGGGGTCAAGGATTTCCTGGTTTGCTCCCCCCACCCTCTTCGGTCTAACCTACTCCCCCTCTTAACACCTTCTTCCCTCCTCTTCTCCCTCCTTTCTGCCCCCCTTTCCCCTCTCTTCTCCCCTCCCCCACTTTCCCTCCTCTTCCCTCCCCTCTTCTCTTCTGTCTTCCTTTCCCCCCTCTAACCTGCCTCTTTTCTCCCCTCCCCATCTCCCTGTAATCTCCCTTCTCTCCCCTCCCCCTTCTTCCCCTCCCCCTGTTCTCTCCCTCTTTCCTATTTTCTCTCCTTCCCTCCCCCTCTTCTTCCTCTCCTCCCCAACTTCTCCCCTTTCCCCTCCCCTTCTTCCCTTTCCTTTCTTTCCTCCTCCCTCCTCCCCCTCCTCAGGTCCCTCCCTAACTCTCCTCCTCCTCCTCCTTCTCCTCCTCCTCTGTAAAATGAGGGAGTTCGATTAGGCGATCTCTCAAATCCTTTCGAGCTCCAGATCTCGAGATCCCGTGCCCCACTCCTCAACTGGCACCAACTCTGGCTCTCCGTGAATACCATCCTCTCCCTTTCTCGGTCTCTCTAACTCCATCCCACCCGGGCCATCCCGCCCCCGACTCCGGTCTCTCCAGGCGCCTCCCCTTTTTCAGCCCCCTTCCCCCCTCCCACCTCCTTTTCCCGCGCCTCCACTCCTACCCAACGCACCTGGCCCCCAGCCCCTCAGCCCTCTCACCTCGGGAGGGGCCGGGCGGGGCGGGGTGGGGCGGAGCTGGGGAAGGAGGCAGTGTCGCGGTGGGTGGCGGTGGAGAGGTGCGGTGTGGGCGGGCGCTAGGACCCGGGGGGGAGGGCGGGGCGGGGCTGGGCTGCGGGCGGGCGGGCGGCTCATCAGCTTCACCTCCGCAGCTTGGAAAAACCCCAGCTGGAGGGCGCCGGCTCGGGGGCCGGGAGGGGTCCGCGGGAGGAGGGCTGCCGAAGGGCCGGGAGTCGGGCGCGCGGCAGCTTCCGAGCCCAGTCCCCTCGCCCTCTCGGAGAAGCAGCGGCCCCGGGTTGCTCCGACAGCGGCAGCAGAGGCGGAGACTCTTGCACCCCGGGCCTGGGCGGGGGCGGCCGCCGGAGCAGGTGAGATGCCTGGCCGGGCCGGGGCCGGAGGGGGCTGCGCGGGGCCCATCCCTGTCCCGTCCCCGTCCCCCCCAGCCCTCCATCTTCGCGCACGCAGCCCCTGCAGGTAGAGTTAGTCGCAGCTCCGGGCCCCTTTGGGTTCCGAGAGAGGACCATCCCAACCCTTTCTCCATCCTCCCCTCCAGCCCCTCAGCACCCCTGTCCTGCCCTGCTAACCTGGAGCGCCCTCTGTCCCTAGAGACCCTGCCAGCCTTCCAGGATCTGCTCTCATCTGTCTTGTCTCCAGGACACCCTGTCCCAAAGTCCTCCCTCTGGGAGCCTCCTCTGTTCTCACCATCTTCGAGTCCCCTCTATCTCTAATTCTCCCTCTGAATCTCTCCCTTGCTGACCTCGACAAGTTTCCGGCTTTCCCTGTTCCTGAGGCCCGGGAATTCCCTTGGTCATTCTAGCTCAGGGGACCCCTCTGTCCCGAAGATTTCCTTGGAACTCCCCCTGCCTTGTCCCTGGGGTCGCCTCTGTGCCTGTTTCTGCTCTCCAGGAGCCTAGACTTGCCTTTATTTCACTCAGCTCTCAGGATTTTCTTGCACCGTTATATCGGGCCTCATATCCTCTCTTTCTTCCCTGTCACTTTCCTCAGTGTCTCCTAGGTTCTCCTTTCCCTCTTGGTGTCTCAATTGTCATTCCTCAGGCCCTTGAGTATCTCATGTTTCTCACCTATGCCCCAAGACTCCCCCTCAATTCTCTTCTTTCATATCCTCATTCTCTTTCAAATGACTTGAGATCCTACTGTCCCTTCTGTTTCCTAGGACCTCTCCTACTAGGGTCTCCCTTTGCCCCACCTCCCAGACTCACCAGTCTCTTTTTTGCTTTGTTCTCCCCTGGAGGTGAGATTTGGTATTGTCCCCAGAGGGCTCCAGGGTGCCAGGTGCCTCTCTCTGGGCTCATCTGGGGACTCACTCTCCCTCCTGGTTGGGAATGGATGCACTGGTAGGGTCCATTTTTTTGTCTGTTCTTGCCCTAATCCTGGACTCCTGTCACTTTCCCAGCCTTCTCTTATCCCTGCCCCCATCCTACCAAGAGAGATGAGATGTGTCCCTCTGCTAATGGGACACAGTATTCCTGCCCTCCCCCTCCCAACTTCCTCTGCCTCCTGTCTTCATCCTCTAAGTTCCCCTGCTCACTCCAATCCCCAAACCGGTCTTTCAGGTCCGGGGAAGGCTGAGTCAGCCTTGGCAGAGGGTTCTGCCTGGGTGAGGACCTGGGCCCTGGTGGTTCCACCCCCCTCGCATCCCCCCTTCTCCATGGAGTCCTCAGATCCTGATGGACCCCAGGCCCCCCGACCAGCACTGGGCAGAGACAGCGTGCAAGTGCCCGATGACCATGACTTCCAGAACTTCAGAGCTGAGTGTGAGGCTGAAGCAGGCTGGAACCTGACCTACAGCAAGGGCGGCCTCGGGGTGTGGGTGCAGGCTTTGGAGTTAGACCGGCCCCTTCACAAGATCAAGGTAAGGGCCCCGCCTGGGCCAGCAGCACTGCCACTGTTCTCTGAAAGGACATCAGGAGGAGAGTGTGGGGAGAAGGAGAAGATGAGGTTGGGAGAGATGATACTGGGTCCTGGCCTATGACCTCTCAGGCTTGGAATCTCCATGACTCATAAAACCCTAGAGCTAGAAGGATCTTGGAAGCTATTTATAACCCAATAGTAGTTATGAATAAAATGGGGAAACTGAGGCCCACAGAGAGTTGTAGGCTTGCCCAAGATCACCCCAGTAAGCCCCTGATGGAGCCAGAACTCCAGCTTGGTTCTAGCCTCCAGCCCACTTTCCTCATCCCAACTGCCCAGTTCCTTGAGAAGTTGTCTCTTCTCCCTAAAGATAATCACTCTTCATTCTGCAACACTTCATGGTTTCACAAAGCACTTTTTTCCCCAACACCTTTCGGTAGGGAGGTCATGCATTATCAGTAAGTAGCTTGCAGAGGAGGAGACTGAGGCTCAGTCATACAGTGAGTTGATGGCAGAGCCAGGACACGGTGCCAAATCTCTCAGCCCAGGGTTCTTTCCCCATCCTGCCATGGTACTCTACTTGGCTCCCTGAGACTTTCTCTTAATGACAGTAACTCCTGGTTTCATATTGCCTTATAGCTTACAAAACTATTTCCTCACAACAACCCTGTGAATTGTGCAGTACATGCAGCCGTATACCCATTTTACAGATGGGAAAAATTCAGGCAAGGAAAGGGAAATGATTTGGCCAGTATCCAACATCTAGTCTGTGAGAATGGGCAGGACCTGAATTCAGATCTCTTGATGTTTTTTTCCTGTCATAGGTGGGAAGCTGCTCTTACCCACTCCCTCAGCCCTCATTGTTCCATACCCCAGGCCCTCTTCCTTTCCAACTTCCTTGTGCCTGGTCTTGGTTACTTAGGCAGAATAGCTCCTCAGAACCTGGTTCTGTTGAGATTCTGTTCCCATTCTCCCAGAAATCTCCCTCACTCTTTGAATTTTCCCTTGTAAATCTTTCAAAAGCAAGTTTTCCTGCCCTGATTCCCCCTCCTTTTGCACGGGTGTTCTCTCACCTCCACTCTTCAGCTGGGCCTCCCAGCCCTCCAGTGTCACCCGCCACCAGGCATCTCATGAGTCCAGCAGCTCTTGACAGGTTTTTTACTTGCTCATATTGGCCTGGGCAGAGCAGAGGTTGTCTGTGGTTCAACCAGGAAAGATTTCCATGGTAGGGAGGATTGCTAGGCCTCCTAATTATTCCTCTGCAGCTAATGGCCTTCCCTCAAGGGCTGGTTCCCCTCAGAGCTGTCAGTACAAGGACAGGGCTAGTGAGATGTTTGCAGAGCTCAGGGCATGGGGAAAAGAAACCCTACATCTACCCCAAGCCTTGTGGCATAGTTGGAGGGCTAGGATTGATTTCAGGAAAGACCTAGGTTTATCCTGTTCTGTCACATGCCAGCTCTGTGACCGTGGGCCATCTCCCTTGAACCACACTCTAGTCATCTCTAATATGGGGATAACAGGGTCTGCCATAGCCTACCTGACAGGGTACAATGTCTCAGGTGAGGTGATACATACAAGCCTTTAAAAGTGCTTAGGGTGTGTGGCATATAATAAGTGTTTAATAAATGCTAATTGCCTGACTAACAGTTGTCAGGTTTGTGATTATTTGGGTTAGGAGTGACACAATATTCCTTCTCATTAATTTAGTACCTTGGGACTGCAGAACCATTCTAGGGGGCAGGAAGGGAGGGGGTGCCCTTCTGTGAGTCCAATTCCTTTTGAACTCTCAACTCTTGGCTCGCCTTCAGTGGAAAGCTTTTTGGGTTCCATTCACCCCTTTGGCCCTTTGTCTCTTTGAACTGCTTGTATTTTGTACTCACATCCTAGAGGTGGGGGGGGCCACATCTTCTAACTTGGGCTGGGGGCTCCCTGAGGTTGGGGATCTTTTTCTGTCTTTGTCCATTGACCCTTGATCCCTCTAATTTCACACACACACACACACACACACACACACACACACACACACACACACGCACGCACGCGCGCATACCCACCCTTCTCTCCTAGCTGTAGAATGGGGAGCTCCATCCTATGGAATGGAAGCTGTTGGCAGCTATTTCTTTCTGAGTGTGCATGTCAGGGACACTTCTGCCTAGCGGGGAACTTTCTTCTTTCCTATCATTTCACATCTCTTACTGTTTAGCCTCACAAAACTTTTTCTCTCGTTGGGGACAGGGACATGCCCCTCAAGTGAAGGTATCTCCACACTTTAGGCTCTCCTGCTAAGTGATAGCTATTGTATCTGAGGTCCTTCCTCCTCAGCTTCCTCCCATTGGGGAGGAACCTTGGTTTCCTCACTTGTAAAATGAAGTTGAACTTAGGTCCTTTCCAGTTCCAATCCTGTGATTTCTTGATACCCTCAGAGAAGTTTATCCTCTTGTAGAGACCAGTTATCCATACCTGGGGTACTCCTGGGCCTTGTGTCTTGTGCAGCACAAGCCTGAGGATTCTTAACCTGAAGTCTGGGAACTTGTTTTTTGAAAGCTGTATTTCAATATAATGTTTCTTTTGTAATCCTATATATTTTATTTAAAACCATGATTCTGAGAAGGAGCATATGGGCTTCACCAGACTACCAAAACCCAAAGGGGTCTGTGACACAAACTGGATTAAGAACCCCCAAATTCTCTCCTTTTGCCAGCCCTGTCCTCTGCAGCCTCCCACTGGCTTCTTGCAGAGAAGTGGGTGAGGAAGTGTGGAGTGGCTAGCCTATCGCCCAGCTTGCAAAAGGGATGGGGGATGGGGAAAATGAGGGTAGTTGTGGGCCTTGGGGAGGCTATGTGGGTAGGATATCAGAGCAAGAAAGAACCATAGAACATATAGATTGTCAGATGTGGGAAGACCCTTGGAGATGATCCCCAGCAGCTTATAGATGGTGGCCATGGTGCAGCATAGGGTCACCTAGGGTTAGCCAGCAAATGGGTGGTGAACCTGGTTCTCCTGAGTCCCATTCCATTACTCTGACATTCCTGACCTTGACTAGGATACTCAGTATTCAGGAACTAGGAATGGTCCCTCCCCCAGGAGAGGGTTCCATGAGATAACAGTTGTCCCCCTTTCCTTCCCTGGAGATCTGCCCCATGCCTTCTGCACATCCTACCATGAAATTTCAGAGCTGGGCAACAGCTTCTCTTCCCCTCCCTTCAGGTCCCAGGCCTTATTTTCTGGCATCTTTCTCTACGTATCTGTCTCTCTCTGGGCTTCCTGTTAGCGTCTCTCCTTCTCAGAAGTAGGAGCAGAGGTGGGGATTCACTGACCTCAGGTCAGGCTGACCTGATCCAGGTACCATAATTTTAACGCCTTGGGCCACCCTCCCAACCCCTGTCCTGGCTCCGCCTGTAAGCGCGAGGGGAAAGATGCTTTGGTTTTTGTGTTTATATCTCAGCCTTGCACGTAATAATGGCTTAATAAATATTTATTGAATTGTATGGAATCTGAGACCCTCCTCCAGTGGACTGTGGGCTATAGAGGGAGCAATTCATTTCAACAAGTGTTTTCTCTGGCAGGAGACACACTTGCTGTGCTTTCAGAGCTCCTCCCAGGGCAGTTGACACTATAACCCTGGCAGCAGGGGCTACAGACCCTAAGGGAGGAACAGATGCAGGTCTAGGAGGGGCTCTGGGGAGGGGAGAAGCATGACCTCTCTGGCCTTCTTTTGGCCCTTAATCCCTCAGCAGGACCTCTGAAGGCTCTTCTGTTGTCTGAGGCTGGGATTTTAATTCAGTTCAACAAGATTGATGCCATCCCTCCACTGTGCAGAACTCTGTGCTTGAAGCTGAAGGAAAGAAGGGTTTAGCCCTCATGGAAAGAGCTTGGTCTATCTACTAGGGTCTTGAGGCTTTCTGACAGGTAATTCAGTTAGACATTTATGATGTACCAGGTTCCTGCTGGTGTGGGGAATACAAAGACAAGAAGGATGAGGCCCCGCCTGTAAGCAGCCTTTATTGTCCTGGTTATAGCATTTAAACAGATAAAGAGAATCAGGGAAAGCTTCCAGGAGGAGGTGATACCTGAGCCAAATCTTCAAAGGAAGCTAAGGATTCTGAGGGGCAGAGGTAAGGAGGGAGGACTGTTCATGTCAGGCATGAAGACAGCCTTTGGGAAAGCGGTCTATCAAGAAGCCTTTTCTTTTTTTTTTTACTTTTTGTTTATTTATTTTTAGTTTTCAACATTCAGTTCCACAAGATTTTGAGTTCCCGATTTTCTCCCCATCTCTTCCCTCCTCCACCCCGAGCCAGTGTGATTCTGAATGGCCCTTCCCCCAATCTGCTCTCTCTTCTGTCCTTCCCCCTTTTCTTATCCCCTTCTCCAAGAAGCCATTTTTTATGAAGTGTTTATTAAGCACTTAATAAGTGCTAGACAAATAGAAAGGTGAATCAGTCAGTCTCTGCCCTCCAGGAGCCTACATTCTAACAGAAGAGACTGCATGTAAATATCGAGGTACAGATACAAATTATCAAGAGTATACAGAGGCATTCTGAAAGGGGGAGGGGTTGGCGCCGAGAGATCCCCAGGAAAGGCCTCCTCCAGAAGGCGTGATCTGGCCTGAGACTTGAGAAGCTGGTGGGCAGAGGCGTGAGGGTTCCTAGAGCTAGTGATGCAAGTAAGAATATTATTCCTCTCACACACTTATTACATGTGCACTGTGGGCAGAGCCTTGTGCTGGACACCCACAGAGATACAGCGTTTAGATAAGACTTGTCTCCTGTCTTCATGGAGTTTGCAGTCGGCTGGAATGGGGTGCGTTGCCAACAGTTATACACAGTACTGTTTTATATATTGAACGTGCTAGAAAGGTACAAAAAACTACGTGAGATCAGAAGAGCCTTCCTGGCAAAAGCACTGTTTGAGGTGGGCCTTAATGATGGGTAGAAGGAATTTAAAAGATTAAGAAAAGAAGGAGGAGAAAGAAGAAGGCTCCAAGTAGAGTTGAGAGGGCCC